AGCTCAAAGAGAATGTAATGAGAAGTTTTTCCATGTGTGAATTTTTTTTTGATGTCTTTCGATATACTAAATACCACAAAAGTATGTATCTACACTTGTATGAATGTATCTATGTATGGTTGTTGACCTATTTTTGATATAAGTATGTATGTATGTATGTATGTATGGATAGCGGTAGTGTAAGAAAGCTTCTGTGTATGGAAAACAAAGCGCTTACCTTTTTCTTTGAATGTTCCGGAAGAAGGCACACTCGACAAACTGGTCTCTGAGGTGCTGCCGTCTATGTCCTGTAAACTGAATTCATTGCGGACGTCTTGAATGGCAGCCAAGTCGTTGAGGCCAAAGTTTTGATCTCTGAAATTATGAGAAAATAAATGGATCAAACTGTAAGTTTGTAATGCGATTAATATAAGCGTAGTTGAATTTTGGATATTGCCTTTTGAGGTGGTTTTTTACAGAGCCTTTAAAAAGTTGCTACAACTTAAAATGGATGTGGAGCTACTAGCAATGAATTCCTAAAGCATGGCGCTACCTATTTGATCATTAGTTAAAATTTTGACACAACTTGTTGTCTGGTTCACAATGGGTTAATTGCTTCAAAGTTTACGACTGGCATATAAATGTGAAATGTTCCTAATGAAAAAATATATGGTGATACTTGTATGAAAAACCAATTCAACTATTTATTTATGGATAGAAAAGTGTTTAGATATATCCCACGAGAGGGAGTCGTTTTATAACAGTTTTTGGGTGATTTCCTTTGGAGAACTTTTGGGACAAATCCATACTTTCGCTTAATACTTAACTTAACTTTGGGCACGTTGTAGGTCTTCGACGTGTTGGCTATAAGTTTACTTTTAACTACGGGCAATTCAAAATCCTAAAAAGCTTTTAGGGCATCCCGGCCTTAACCGATACTGGACCCAACTGGATGTTTCGGAGATGGATCGAAGTTAGATTGGAAGGATCTTCTGAGAGGAAACTTCCATGAGCTCTCTAATGTAGGCTCCCGAATCACTGCATCGAACTGGATACTTACGAATGTAATCAGATCAAGGATGTGATCAGATTTGCCTGGCGTAAATTTAGGTTTTTGGGTGTCTGGTGATATTATGGGGCAGTGTGTGACATACCTCGCGACCACATATCTATGTATAAGCCACAGCAACATTGCAACGGAATGAATAATGTATTGGTATAATCGGGCACACTGGGAAGTGGGAGCCGGGTAAAAGAGAGGCGGGGCGATGTGAATAATTTTTTCTCACCGCGCAGGAAGATTGAAGGTAGATAAGGAGATGTTAAGGATAAAGGAGCCACGTATTTTAATACTGGTACAAGTTTTTGCTAGACTCTATTTCAACTCAGCTCAATGAGATATTTTGACCGCCTTCGGCCGGAAGGATATATAAGACGCACATGTCCTTGTTTTTTGTCTCCAAGAGTAGATTGCATGTAGTCCTAGGAGCTCTTAGTCTCCCTTTTCTCGGTTACATTATCTATAGAGTGCTTTCTTTGCCCACTATGGCGTCGTAGCCATAAATATTTGACTAGTAAAAAATCATGCGCAGCTAAAAGAGAGCTCAGGTGCTTCTCTGTTAGCCATGATTGCCGCCTGTCTTTCAGAATAGTAGTCCTTTGACATCGTGTGGCTGATACCTCAGCGTGGAAAACACCAGAGTTTTCATCAAACTGAAGTGCTCCCTGAAAATAGACCTCCCATCCACTCTTCCGTCAGGCTTCGACCCATCTGTGTAGAAGTCCACAGGTGCCTCCATTCAACTAGTGCCACATTTCCACTCATCACTAGAAAGGACGCTCTTTTTTTCCAGTCTCACTGTGCAGTCATACAGGGGGGATGCTAGCATGTTTAACTGCTGAGACTGTGAAGCATCCAGTATCTCTAAGTTCGACCGCATAATTTAATGAAAGCTCCTTTTCTATGATTTTGAGGGCGCTATGTAAAGACAGAGAGATAATAGTCCTAAACACCAGCTGAAGATTTCTGGCTAGTATGGCCTTCTTCAATGCATTTTATCCTACATTATGGTCTTAACTATAATTTCATAGAGCCTGGACATAATCTTATAATTTACCTGATCAGTTTCCTAGCTCTGGACATATAAATATTAAATTCCTTTAAAATATTGCTTATTCTCTGATATTTTCATTGTGTTCCAATTTTATATATGCCACCCGCCAGAGACATATTTCAAGCCCAAGCATTTTTGAATTCTTCCCGCAACTCACCTGAAAGCTACGCTATCGCTAAAGTAAACTCCATTCCCGCTGCCACTCGGACCCGTTGTACCAATGTTATCGTTCACCGGAAACACAACGCGTGGACTGCGCGATGATTTGAAAGGGAAGAAGCGACTTTTCCTTGAACTCTGAAAATCGAGTGGTCCATTTGGACCAATGTACTCGTTGAAAGCCTTCTGCGGCGCATATGGTCGCGACGGACCTGTCCTGAATTCTGTATCTCCATAGAACAAACCGCGTTGTGGACGTTGTGGTACAGCGGTGATGGGCCCATTTATATCGCCGAATTTCGTAACCTCCTCACGAAATAGCTTTCCACCCGCAATAGCTCCACTCAGTGAATGAGGTTTTGTGTTTGACGCCAGTCCGGGAAACTCGAAGGGATGCGAAATAGGCACTGCATCAGCGGTGTCATAGATCAACTGACGTGTATGACGTGTATCTTGATCGTATTGCGTGGGCAGCACCTCCTCGCTATAGGGCGACTCAAACCCAGCTGTTTCGGTGAAGATGGGATTGTCTTCCCGATAGCCTTGCGGGTAAAAAGGGCTCGCTGGTTTCAAACTGTAGCTGGGGAATTTGAAACCATTGCGACGTGCTGCATTTTCATCCTCATAATCTACTTTATCTGTTGAAGTGATGGCGGTGTCTGCAGCTGGCGCTGTGGCCACATCAATGCGATCTGTTTGCGTATGTATCAACTCGTCGCCGAATTCTTGTGCTACCGCAGCTACAGCGTGTGTAGGTGGACCCAGGTAACCGAATGAGCTGTTGTTGCGCTTTGGCAGCTGTGTTGCGCCACTGGTTTGCTGTTGCAGTGGTATATATACATAGTTGCGTTGACGTGAGCTGCGCGTCGCATTCGCTATGGCGGTGGTCGCCGCAGCGATAGATGCGGCGGCATTTGCGTCGGGCACCACTTGCTTGGGTATTGTTATGGGTAAAGAACCGGATATGGCGCCATTACTGGTGCTGCTCGATAGTTCGATTCCTGGCGCTGGTATCACTTCGACAGTCGTTATGACATCCGAGCGGCGTTGTGCTGCCGGATGTGACTGCTGCACTGGCTGACTTTGTTGGAAATGTGGTAGAATTTGTGGTTGTTGCGCGGTCGTTGAAAGTGCGCGCCCACTACGGTATGCACCAAATGTTTGTACTACGGTGCCATCGCTGCGGCGACGCCAATCTGTGTACGGCGCCTCATCCACCTTACTGAAGGTGTTGAAAGGCGCGTAGAGGTTTCGCGCGGTACGCCGATTGTCTACAGAGGGCGCGACGGGCGCCGGGGTAATAGGTAAAGAAGCGTGCTGACCATGCGCAGCTGAGTACGCTGTGGTAGCGCGTGCTTGTCGCGCACTTGACTGCAATGCTGGTTGCTGTGTTTGTAGCTGACGCGCTGGTGTTGCTGGCGCATGCGCCGACGTGTTCGCAAGCGCTGGCGCGCGTTCAATGGCTTGTGCGGTGCATAGCAGCAAACTGACAACAGCTGTGGCTAAGAGGCTCCATTTGACGTTTGCTAACATCTTACATTGAGCACGGCACGTTTAGGGCGTGGCTTGTAGGGAAGCCAAGGGGCAGGTACTGAGTTTGGTGAAGGTGCGCGCTGGTTTTAGATGCAAAGCTGGTAGCGGCTGTTAAATGGGTTGGGTTTAGCGGATTTAAACAGTTTTTGTGTCGCAGTGCGCGGAACACTATGGTCGGCGAAAAATGCTCGTAGCTGGTAATTTCGGTGTGTCCGCCACGCTTACGGCTCCACAAAAATTGATTATTTCTGCTATTTTGTTGGCCACTACTCCTGTTGTCACTGCTGCGCCAACAAATGAGTCTTGCATTCCTCGGTGATTGGTCGGGACGCTAGCGAATAGGCGACTGAGAGAGGGGTTACGCGCGCGCACCATAAAGCGGAGGTTGACAACCTGCAAATCGTTTCGATTCGGCAAATGCGGAGCGCAATCAAGTTGCAATAAAACTCCTCACGTTTTAACCACTCGCTTTGGTTCCTGCCGCAACTTCCTGTTTGCGTGCCACTCAAACGCTCTTTGGCGTGACGTGCCGTGGTGCGGCCGTCGCCTTTTCTTTGGCTGCGCTTCGCTAATTGAACGGAACTTACCGCTTGCGCTTGAACTTGCAAACACCAAAATCGTGCCGCCCCAAACCACGCGTAAAATAAGCGTCAGCAGTCGAAATGTAGTGGCCAAGGTTGTTGCAGCACGCGCGATGGTTGTGTGGCGCTGGAGTTGGTGGTGGTGGTGGTGGTGGCGGTTGCGGTGCGGTCGTTGCACTCCACGTCAGGCAATTGGCGATTATTGCGCGCCTGTGTGTATCAAATTTGCTGGAAATATTATTTGTACGCTACATGTGCGCACACGCTTGAACTAATTCGTTTCGGAATTGCTACGCGGTTTTATTGTTGTTGTTGTTGCTGTGTACCTGTTGCGGATATCGCGCGCGACTGGTTTCTGCCGCACGTTGTTGTTGCAGCCGCTAAATGCAGCAATTTAAGGAAAACATAAACAAGCGCTCATATCGCGGCAGCTAGTTTTGAATTTGTTGCAATTGCTGCTACTGCTTTATCTGTTTTACAACCACAATGCGGTTATTGGTCTATGCCGCACGTTCGCTTCGACTACTGGTCAATGCGCGCACGCTGTTTCATTTAATTTCTGTATCTTATTTTTATATTTATTTATATTTAGTTTTATATTTACTTCGCTGCTTTAATTCAGCGCATGCACATGGTCGCTGCAACTAAGGCTAGCGCGAGCGTGAGCGGATGCCGATAAATGCTCAAATTATCTGTTGCATATGTGGCAGTTGGCGTGGTGCCTGTGTAGGCGCACAGATTTCGTTCGATTTACTTTTTTTTTCTTCTTTTATTTTTGGTGGGCGTTTGTTGTTGCTGCAGTTAATTGGTGCCCATGTTGCAGGGGTTTTCCGTTATCCAAATAAAAGCAACAAAGGCAACAAGTAAAGCCGTCAAACTGGTAATTCGCGTGCCGACTCAAATGAACGAAGTACCCAACTCTCGCGTGCTAAGCCGCTCAAAGCGCTTAAATTGCAGTGTTTCGGCGCTGCTTAGCGTTAATAATTTCTGTTGTGTTGTTGTTATTCAAAAATATGCGGCAGCTATAGTAGAAGGGGCATGCAACGTATCAACATTATCATTTATTTCGGTTGTTGTTGCTGGTGCGCCTGATTCAATAGCTGTTGGTTGGCTGGACGGAAAGTGTTTCCTTAAATGTACAGCCTGTAATAGAAAAAAAAATCGAAATGGATATTAATTGATATACTTATTGAGAGTAACTGGGGGAATAAGGGTAAAAATAAAATTATTTACATATACATATGTGTATATTTGTGAACCTATGTATTTGTATATAGCATATTTTCAGAAATAAAGGTTCAAAGTCAGCAACAACTCAGACAATATTAAATGCCACCAAGTCTACTGGATTGTGATGCTTGAAAAATATTAGAAAAAGTGGAGCTAGAGTTCGCGGTCGGAACTCTCTGGAATTAACGAAGATTTTTTTGCAAACAGATTATTCTAGTAGGAAGATATTTGGAATGCACTTTTATCTTTACTTAAAAGTAGTTTTTATTACAGCTCCTTTCGTTATCCACTTTCACAGCCACAACTGACTCTCCAACTGGGAACCACATTACTTAATTCGCCATAGAAAATTTTGAGAGACCCATAGTCTATCGGCCATTAGCCGCACCTAGGAGGAAAGAGAGCACCTAACGACATTACGCATATCCGAAGCGAAAACGCAGTTCATAACGCTTAGCTTCAGATTAAAAATTCAATCCTTAGCAGCTTTTTTTTTAGATATTTATACATACATAAAAGGAGTTTTCAACAATTTTTCCACAGAGCAACCGCTGGACATGCATGTCGAGAATGAAATGAGAAATGAAGCAAAATAGTCGTCGGTTAAAAGACAAATATTGGAAAAAGAACTTTACAGTCTTTCAGATCAGATGCAGAGTGTTCCAAGTTGAGATATTTGCCTAAGAAAAATCAGTGAAAACAGCGGCTGAGTGAGCACAGTCAATTTGCAATAAAGGTAGCGGTTGCGATGACGGTAACTCCGGTATACAGCAGTACAGCATAAGATTAGACGAAATCTTCGCACGTAGGAGCGTAACATTTTTGCGGGTTCAAACACTTATCGGGATAGAGGTAAAGTTGGTAAAACCCACTCACCAGTAAATTTCCAAAATATCGTTCTGTTTGATCTATCTCATGATATCAGAAGCAATGTTACTGTGGAAAAATGTAGCATTCTATAGTATATATCTCTTCTAATTCGCTAATATCTTATCTTATTACTTTAAATGAGCAATTCTTGTATATAAATATATCCATGAGTTTCTGGGAAACAGCTCTAATGATGTTGATGCAATTTGTATGCAGATAATTGCAGTATTCACGCCTGTCTGGTTATAAGGATATCTTCTTAAAATCTATTAAAAATATAACCAGATATTATAAATTTCGTTTTTAAGTAAGTTCCCATTTTGTATACAAAAAATAAATTAAGTATTAAAAAGAATACAATTATCCAAATATCGCATATAGCAAAAATAAGGCCATAGAAAACAACTCATTCAGGTAGTAATGCAACGAACGTTTAAATTTTTAAACCCACAGCTTGGAATCGCCATATAAAATCATGAAACAACTTTTGAAATCAATAGCTGCAGTTGAGTTTTCTAATCTATTTAATTATATTTTTGCTTACTTGGCGTTTAGAGCTTTTTACTTGTGATACTGTGTTTTGCAAGGACGCAAATAAATTAAAAAAAAAAACCTCAGGTCTGACATATATCCCACTTCGATCTTCAATTAAAATTTAAACTAAACTTCAGTCGCTGTCCTTTCATAAATCAGCATGCCTCTCCATATAAATAAAACTTCAATAAATTTCTCAATCCAACCGCATAATCGATTCTATTTTACTCCCATAAAAACTTGTGCATGAACTTTATTGCCTTTAAAATGTCTCAAACATGGCCAAATCTTATCGTTAATTTTAAAGGGAAGCAACTTTTTTCATAAGGCATCATAATGGTTAACAATAAAGTGGCAAAGCAAAGGTCAGCCACAAGCCCCATAATGACAACAGTTCAGTAAATGCGCGCCAGCAAAGTAAACTATCTTTTGAATTTTAGAAACTAAAGCAACGCCCAAACGTAAGTTACTTAATTTAACGATATGGAAGCAAAGGTCATAGCTTTAAATTGTGATTTGATTAGTTTTTACCTGCTCAACGAAAAATTACCGTTGACAATGAAGTTGTCCAGATTGTAGTTTACATGTGTGTATACGTACCCTTGCGGTCAGCTGATTAAGTTAAGTGACATTTTGTCCAGTTTTGTCCGTTTTTATTTTATTTATTTAGTTTTTATTTTTTTTTTATAAAAGCACATTCAAACTTTTTATACAAATTCAACAAAATTTATCAATTTCAATTCAAAAATTTTTAACTTTTTATTCAGCACTTTTAGAAAAATTTTATGTATGCAGTTTTATAACACATTAAATTTTAGCAGGATGAAGTAAGGTACCAAGCATTTTCTTCCATATAAAAGAAATTAGAATATGGAAGAAAATGCTCAACTCCGGCAGCTAAAAAGTTATAAAAAATCAACGCAATTTTTTAGCGTCATGAAACTTGCACTTTGTGCTACAAAAATTTATTGAATATCTAAAATGTTGAAAATTTTTGGGACGAATTATTAATTTTTGTTTAATTTTTATAACCTGGTCAATTATTAAAAATCAGCGCAATTTTTTAGCCTCTTGAAACTTGCACTTTGTGCTACCAAAATTTACTGCATATCTAAAATTTCTCGGACAATTCGGAATAAAATGTTGAAAATTTTTGGAACAAATTATTAAAGTTTGTTTAATTTTTATAACCTGTTCAAAATGTAACTTAACTTAATCAGCTGACCACAAGTGTGTGTATGTATGTACAGTATTGGACACATCTATAGCACCCCCCTTTCAAAGCGATATTGTTTGCCACTTATGTTTAGTTATTTGTTTTTAAGAATTTTCAATTAAAATACAGTTCATTCTCTAACAAAACCCATATAAACCCATGTTTTAAACTTTTTAAAAGACCGCAAAAAAGCGCAACAAACTTTCCCTTAAATTTCAAACTTTTTTCTCAGAAGCTCTAGAATTTTTTTGAGTACACAGTTTTATAGCGCATTCAATTTTAGTCCAATAATGTGCAAGTTTCAAGTCGCTAAAGATTACCGTTGATTTTTTAGAATTTTATTTGTCTCATTTGCTTCCATATAACGACTAAACACAATTTATTTTTATATGGCAGAAACCCGCAACATCCTCGGCGAAAAAAAATCTAAAAAATCAACGGTAATTTTTAGCCACTTGAAACTTGCACATAATTAGACTAAAATCGAATGGGCTATAAAACTGTGTATTCAAAAAAATTCTACCGCTTCTGAGAAAAAAATTTGAAATTTGGGTGAAAATTTGTTGCACTTTTTTGCGCACTTTTAAAAAGTTTTAAACT